GGCACTGGAACTTGAAGGATGCCTGGAAGCCTTTGGAAGGGTTTAGGTGAAAGCTCCTGTCATCTCACCACTAAATGCAGATGGTAACAATTTAAATACTGAGGTAGATCCAGATGTGACACTGACTCAAAATGTTAGATGTTGTGTTAGAGGTGATTTGTCAGAAGAACAGAATGCCTCAGTGAAATGCAATACATAGTTCAGAGCCACAAAACAGGACATTAATGGAAAGTCATTGAGAGATTATCTAGAACCCTTATCTCCCAAGGTCCCTGCGTAGTCAGTGGAGAGAGAGGTTTGGCCCAAGGAGAAACCTAACATGGCTGTTCTGCATAGAATGATTTGGGTTGTAAGGGATCTTAAAGATCACCTAGTTCCAACCCCCCTGCATGGGCAGGGACACTTCCTAAAAAACCAGGTTGTTCAGAGCCCCATCCAGTCTTCAAGACTTCCGGGGGGGGGAAATCCACAACTTCCTTGGGCAAGCTATTCCAGTGATATCACCACCCTTGCAGGAAAGCATTTCTTCCTAATATCTAATCTAAATCTACCCTTCTTCATCTTAAAATGGTTCTCTCTTGTCCTATCACTACATTCCCTTGTTAAAAGTGCATGCCCCAGAGGGCCCCACTTACTCAACTGACTATGCAAGGAGTTCAGGATGAGGAGCCTTCCTAAACTAAAATTAGCTTTTGTGAATCCCCTCTTAATGCTGTGAGTTCTCAAGAACCTAGACTTCTTTAGTAATTTCTGTGTGTCTCTTAGGGGCTGGAATGGGCATGACTGCTCCTGTCTCCTTCTCTGCTTTTCCTGCTGATCCTTGCAGCAAAAAGTGAAGGTTTCTCTGCGGATCCCAAGCCAGTTTCAAGCCAACCCTCCTTGTCCTAGTGATGAGAGCATTAAGATTGAAGAGAGACAGGGGATGACCATTTATTCCACGTAAGGAATGCATTTCCAGTCCCAAGTGCTGAGGTCACTAGCACGCTCTGAAGAGCAGTGTTGGTTTTGCTGGGTGACTTGCTGAACAAAGGGTGCACGTGGTGCAAAGAAATGGAGGAGTCTTTCTAGACTGAAGGAAGGTGCTTTATGGCACTTCTTATCATTGGTCATGCTGCACCCATTTGGAATATGTATTTTTTTTCACTGGGAAAGCAAATGCAGAGGTTAGCCCTGAAAGGCTTCTTGTTCCACCTGGGGAGGTGAAGAGCAGGGGAGGGTGTTTATCAAGCTACTGAATTGTTAATCTCTGAAAACTTCCCACTTTCTGGGATCAGGAGGATTCTTAGTCATCAAGAATGTCCTTTGGTGGGGTTCACATCAAACTACAGGTGTCAGCTGAAGCCCCATTTAGATGGAGAGTCCACTGTGGAAATAAGCAGCCATTGCATTGCTTCAGATCACCTTGGAATGTCTTTGGCTGTTTACTGACAAGCTGGACTCAAAACTGGCATCACAATAGCAATAAACTCTTCATCCTGTTTTTAGCCCTTACAGTGTTTCACTATCTCCTTGCTTGAGCTGTTTCAGCTGATTTTGAACTGTCTGGCTCCTCCCTGCCTGCCACTGCTGCCTGGCCTTTGCTGCAGGCGTGGGTCACTTCTGCAAGAACAAGCTGTTTTGTCTGGAACCTTGGCCTTGAGGCCGGCAGTGAGGTGCAGGCTGATGTGGAAACAGTTCCTCTTGGTGGGAGGTCAACATAAAACAGACCAGTTCCACCCTACCCCTTTTAAATAGCATTTGGTCTGTAATTGCCAAGATCTCTGTTCCCACCTCCCCCCCTTATCCTTGGAATAGCTACAGTTTGGCTTCTTTTCATGATCTGGCTTCCAGCAGATGGTTGTTCACACCACTGTGCACATCGTTGTTGACAGCGTTGGTGTAAGGACTGCGGGCTGAGCAGACTTGCAGATAACTTTGTGCTTCAGGAAGCTGTTACTCTGATACAGTGTTGATTCAAAAGGCGGGGCTGTTCTGCTGGCTGATACACATGGGTCTGTTTGGGGCTGTCTGCTTGGAGTTTGCCAATGGCCAACTGAACGGTGGCTGGCTCTGGAGACCTAGCATGCTGGTTCACAGGGAACAGGACCTGCACAAGTGCATGTTGGCAGGACCTGGATCAAAATGTGTGGCTAAATATATTGTGGCTATACATTGTTCTCCTTCTCTTCTTTCTATGCTCAGCCAGGACTGCTCAGCACCTCTGGTTTCTTTGCAGGCAGTTTGGTGGCTATGCCAAAGAGGTGGATTACGTGAACTATGCTGCCAAGCTGAAGTCTGCTCTGGGGAGTGAAGCTGCATATTGCAAGGATTTCTACTTCTGCAATGGTTATGACCCTCCTATGAAGCCTTATGGGCGACGCAATGAGGTCTGGTTTGTGAAGGAGTGAGCATCTGGCTCCAAGTGGTGCTGGCTGGCACTGATAACTTCCCCACGCTGTGTTCCTGTCCTTTTGAAAATAAACTAAACATTTGGCAGAGGCAGAAGTCTGTCCTTTCCTCCCTCCCCCATCTGTGACTTGGTTTGCTATGGACCAGCTATTTTAGGAGAATACTGCAGAACCCCCTGACGATCCTCCTCCTTCCTCTGGACCAGGTCCTCAACCACACGGACTCTCATGATCTCTTGGCACCTTGCTTTTATCTCGTTCAGGCACACAGAGTTCAGTGTTGAGACAGCCAAGAGTACTTAATTAGCAAGACTGGTGCCTGACGTGAGTCACGTCCAAGTGCTGGCAGAGTGTTTGTCTCACGTAAGGCGGGCAGGGCAACATGACGGAAGTGCATACAGGGACTTCTTTATCTTTCTGAGCTTCCTGCATTTGTAAAATGCTGCTTTTATCTGTGCCATTCCAAAAGCAGTCCAAAGGGACATGAGCATTGCTACCAATACAGCACAGAGAAAAAAAAGCATCCTTTACATTTTTCCATAGTGTGCAGGAGAGAAATGCTTCTGTCATTTGACTGTGAAATGTCATTCAGAGGAAGATCCAGGTTTCTGTTTGCAGCTGTTCCTTCTGTTTGAGGTGGGATATTTTGGCATGTGTTGTGTCCTGATCTCAACTGGCAGTTGCACAAATGTGGCATGGAGCCCTCAAGATAATTTTGTCACTTTTCTATTACTTATGTATAACATTTCCGTAAAACTAGCACACAAAACGGCCAAAGCTGAAATCTGTGTGGTAATCTAATTGAATTAGAAAAATACAAGCTGCAAAAAAAAGCAGGTGCCTACTGCTTGTGGTCTGAGAGTGTAATTGATGAATGGTGAGCATCTAATGAAACTACTGTGGGTGCTGATCTTTAAAAATCTTCTTAAATTGCCTTAGTTTCTGAAGGGCTACTCAGAGTAGCTCTCTTTAAGGCAGAGGAAAAGTGGCTATTCTTGAAAACAGGGTTTTACATTAAAAAATGAGTAGCCTTCCAGAAATTTCAAATGTGATAGTAAGGGTGGGTCTTGTTTAAGGAAGACCTGCAATGTTTAACAGCGTTTTAGCTGTTGGCTCTGCAGGGAGGCAGCAGGGTGCCCACAGTGGGACACACACACACCACGCTACTGTGCCTGGAGAATTTGTTACCTCCACTAGAAGAGGTGTGCTCCTCTGGTGCTTAAGTGCCTCAAAGTTTAGGAGCTTTCCAAAAGCCATTTTCCCCCTGGAGCTGAAAGAGATTTGTTTGATGGCATCTCAGTTTCTGGATGGTTGAGCTGCTTGACATGTGTCTGCTTTCTGAGAACAAATCTCAGCTGTAGAAGGCAAAAACCTGAGTGAGGTTCTGATATGTTTTCTTTTCTCTCTTGCAGAGCTTTGCTGTGGACCTCAGTTTTAGTTAGTTAACTGTGTGTATGAGCAGCTAGTCAGGATGGGTAAAAAAGAAGATATAATTTAATTTTCAAAAATCAAGGGAAGAGATATTGGCTGCAGTTAGTGATTGTAGTGCAGGGAAGGAGGGATTGAAAGAAAAGTCAAGGCAGACAAAGAGTTATGCTTTTGAAGGAGTTTTTAAAAAGAGCAAGTGCCCTTCTAAGACCATCCCTGAATGAAAAGGGACCTAATCTTGTCCCAGATTAGTTTTACCTGTGTGAGTGAGGAATGGAGAGATATCGTGTTGCCCAGTTAATGCATTCCCAGATTAATTTTGGAACTTGTGTATAGACTGGTTACAGTCCTTTCTGGCTACTAGTGATGAATGTCCTGCAAAGATCAAAATCCTGACATTTCTCAGAATGTATCCTGTGAAATCTCAGATGTTAGTGACCAATAATAAACCTGTGACTAATAATAAACCTGATAATAACAGAGCTGCTCATCTTAGCAATATGTTTTTTGTGTTTTTTGGGGGGGTTTTGGGTGTGGGGTTTTTTGTGGTTTGTTTATTTGTTGTGGGTTTTTTTTGTTTTTCATAACATGCATACACTTTTTCTGAGCAGAGAGCAAGAGTTTCTGACCTGACAGTGAGAGTAATCACATCTGTAGGCTCTGCCTGTGCAGCTCTGCTGCTGGCCTTTTGCAGGCAGTAGGCAGGGTAGAGTTTCATGAGCAGCATTAACTGAGATCAAAAGCTTATGCAAACCAAATTGCCTTTTCTGTACAAGGAAAGATGCCTGTGTTCTGTCTGCATTTACTTGAGTTTTTAAATAAATAATACTGTGATTTACAATTTTTTGTGCTGATCATTGTGAGCTCAGTGGGGATTGTTGATTTGAAAGACTAGGTTGCCACTTTATCTTTTTGTTTGGGGTACTAATCCTGTTGCAGCATTCATAAATTATCATGATGCTTTTTCCAATAAATTGCTATTTTAGGTACCCTGGTGTGGCCCTGCATTATCTGCCTGTGCAAGATGGGAGCTGATGGAGTAATCTCCTTTTTCGTTGATTTTAGCCACTTTGACTGATATATCTGTGTTCATGTGGAAACAGGGGGGCCTGCTTATCTGAGGAAAATTGTGTATTCTTGTGTGTGGGTTCACAGTGTTCAGGCAAATCTTCATGACTGATTTTCAACACCACCTACTATCTGGAAATGTTAGGCATACTGAGGTCCACCTAGTCCAGTGCCCTGCTGCCAGCCATGGGCAGTAGTGGACACCTGAAACAGATTACAGGGTCAGTGCAACTGTGGGATGGTATCTCCTCTAAATATTTTCCTCTTTCTAGTACCTTGTGGCTCAGGGATTTTTGTTATTGTGCTTGGTGGGTCTGGCTAGATTTTATCCCTTACATTTGTCCAGTTGCTTTTTAGACTCCAAGTAAACTTACTACCTGTGGTATCCCTTCATCCTATAGCAAGGATATCCTTGCTTGTGGAATATATGCTGTGGCTGAGGGTTTCCAGCCCCGTAGACGGCTGGATCAGCCAGCTTTTTGACACACTTCCATCACTGCAAGTGCATGTTTGTTTGGACAGCCAGACTCGCTGTTGACATGAGAGAGTTTCCAGCAACCTCTTAGTGCTGGTGCCAGGAGTCAGAGGTGTGCTCTGGATTTTGACCGGAGGCCAGCATGGTCACAGCCACTCCCTTACATGCAATTTACTCCTGAAGGGGTGTTCAAACAAACAAACAAAAAAATGAATTAAAAAGCTTTATCTCTGCCCTCTCCAATATTTCTTCTCCACGGGAAAATAGTGCAGCAGATCGCAGAGAGACCTCCTTGCTTCTCTTCTGTGCCTGTGCAAGTACCCTTTTCTGTCCCCATCAAACGCTGAAAAGGGGACATTTTGGTGCTTTTCTGGTGCTCAGCAGGATGTCGTAATGTTACCTGTGGTGTGTGCATTTAAGAAGACGCTGGAAGGCAGACGTTTCTTCTCTCTCAGGCACCTTAGTGCTGTTGGCAGCTGCCTCGCTGGGTGTTGGGGTGCAGGGGGTGTGTGCAGCAAAGGCGGCATCGCTGCCCGGGGCTCCTCCCTCATCACCTCACTCGGTGGTGGAGCATCTCCAGGGCTGCCAGCGATGCCCGGTGGGCTGGGTGCGCTCAACAGGGTAATGGCCTCGGGAATTATCTCTGCCTTCCAGAGACAGGAGTGGCTTTACCGCTCCTTAGCAGGTGGGCAGGTCCCTCCCGGTGCTGTGCCAAGCAGCGGTGTGATGGCAATAGTGCTGGACACAGGAAGGGCCACGTCTAAACGGAGATTAATTCAAAAGCATAATCTTGCTGGGAATTACATGCATGCCACGTACCTTTAGCTGTGTTGGATATACTGTCTTCCTAAGCTATTCCAGTTGTTGGTAACAGAATCTGTGATTCTCCTGATGACCTCAACAGTGGCAAACCAGATATATTTGTATATGTGTATAAATATACAAATATGTATGCATGCGTATACATGTTTATGTATATATGTCATGTACATGTGAGCACCTCCAGACCCCCTGCTTTTATCAATTTGTTGGCTTCAGCCATCACTGAATAACTTGCTAATCCAAACACATCCACAGGGTGAACATTTGGAGGCCAAGGTTTTAAGTCTGCTAGAACAAGAGCTTTTTTAGCTTTGGAAATAAATAGTTTGTTTTGTAGACACACGCCTAAATATATCTAACACTGCATAAAGAAGATGACAGCCTTTATAAAAGAGCTAACTGCTTAAGTTGTCTTTATAAATCTGGCCAGACTTATAATACTCTAGTCACTTCGAGGGGATTGGTGATTTATGGTGAATGGGGAAGTAACATCATTATTTCCTCATTTTCATCAATCACCATGGCAAAGGGTGCGTAAGCAGCTATTGTGCTTCTGGTAGCAAATTTGCAGCTTTGCAAGGCTGCCCAAAGGCAGTGGGACAGGGGAAGAGGGTGGTGGCTCCTAGCTCAAACCGTCAGTCCTGTTGTAATTACAGTAATACCTCTTTTACAATAGCACTCTGAGCAGCAACTCTCTTTCTTCTGTGACAGCATTTCAGCCACACTGAGCTAAAAAAGAAATGCATCTCTTTTAGTGGGACCATAAGTAGCTTTGGATGTATAACTCCTCAATAAAACTGCTTGGCAACATGATATATTGGAGCAGGATCAGTGGTAAAAGTGACTTTTCTGACAGTAATGGATGAAACACTTCCAGTGTAGCTACTCTGTCTCTGCTTGGTGCCTATGCCAACAGCAGGCTGATCTCGTCAGCTCATTCATAATCTCTGCTTTGCTCTCAGCAGAATCTGTTGCACAAGACAGGTTTCAGCCATGGCAGATGCTTTTTTTTCTAGTCCTCTGTGGGATCTGCTGCAGAAGATGGGTCAGTGCAAATGCTGCTTGATTCCTAAGGTGCTGTCTGTCTAATTCAACATCCAGAGCCCATGCCTAGGTGAGAGCTGGGTGCATGCCACTCCCTTACCCCCTCACTGTTGCCCAAACCCGCAGTTTCTGTGAGGAGAAACTTCAGTTAATGGCGTGGAAGGAGCTGCATTATTAGTAGACTGAGTGTGAGATCTGGCTGATCAGCAGCATGAGGTCCTGAGGCAACCTCAGATGTTTCTTCTCTGCAGTCCAGGTGA